CAGCTGACAGCCGCTGTGAAACTCCAGCGGTTAGAGCGATGAGAATGTCCGTTCGGCACCTCATGACGCATCTACTGAGTACCGGGCGGCTGTATATATATATATGGATGTATAATAAGAACGGCGGGAGAGTGTTGAGTACTGGCACGGTGCATGAGTACCGGAGTACCGCCAGCATGCCGGTACTGAGCAAGAAGTGCCGGTACTCCATGGGTCAGAACCAGAAGTGCCGGTACTGCGTACCGGTGAGTACCGGCCCAATTCCAGCACTGGATTTATCCATAGTTCGCTCATCGAGCCGGGGGTCAGGTTATTCGCCTGCAAGAAAAGGCGCTAGCGCGGGACCGTAGCAGGATGTGACGCATATTTTAGTTTAGTTTAATTAAAACCGTTTTGTTTTTATTTATGTGTCACAGTATCACCTCAAAATACAAGATACGAAACATTTTCAACCATGCAACAAAATATAAATAGTCCTACAAATACTTTCATTTAATTTCCTTCTTATTTTTGTCTAGAGCAGAGGGCTTAAAGAGCCGTAGCCGCAGGTTGCAGACCTCTGAACCAACGTAATACAGTTATGTGACATCTCTTGACATAATACATGTAATTAAAGTCAACGTTTCAGTTTTTCAGCATAGATAGCTACTTTGTTACTAGACTGCTGCTGCTTTCCTGTTTCATTCACGCTACAAATGAATTCGTAAAACCTTATAGGAATATCGGATGCTGCTTATGTTCATAGATATTTGTTATTTTTCTATCTTGCTGCTGATCTTGTTTCACCCTCTTATTTTCCACATGTGCTGTGCTATTTGCTGCCTTGGTGCCAAATTGCCATTTTCCCCGAAGACCCTCGAGCTCTGCCAGCTTCTCCTCTAACTCAACAGCAAGGTAGAGACACACACACACACACACACACACACACACACACACACACACACACACACACACACACACACACACACACACACACACACACACTTTCTTCTCCCAATTATGACTTCCATCACAGGGTTAACAGAGGTTTTTTAAAGGCTAATTTTAGACTGTGTAAACACTCTATTCAGTTTGCAAAAGGGCAAATGAAATTACTTATTTTCTGCCTTACCTTAGGTCTTTTTGAAGCAGCAGACAAATTATAATGTAGTTTTCCTTGAATGGCTTCTACAGTATTTCAATGCCGACATATTTAGTCTGGCCAGGAACATTAACTCTGGCCCCAGCTGTGTCCTGAATCATGAACATAAAGAGTTGGAGATGCAGGGCTCCAATACTGAAAGCACTCTTTTGTGCACCCGGCAATCCTCAAATGAAATATGGAGCTGAATCCAATCCAACCAAATGTCAATTCAAGGGTCTTTAATGTTATTCTGTCTTCTTTGATTGTAACTCTTTGGTCAATGTTTGTATCCTTGTTTCTTCTGTTACATGTTGTCTTTGTTGATGTTGCAATATATTGTATTCATCTTCATTATTTGTCTGACTCCTCACAACTTGTTTGACACATGGCCAACTGCTTTACGGCATGTCAAAGATGGTAACATGCTTTTGTTCTTGCCTAAACTAAATTGGCGTCATTGGTCGCTACCGTGTGGCACATCAAGGAAACATACATTTCTATGTCAAAACTACCACACAAATGTTTAATCACACCTTTCCGACAAAAATCGCTTCGATGGTACCACAAACTCTGTTTGAGTGTTGGAAAACTGTGATGTAAGTTTCCCAATCCCCAGGTCTCTGCAACACATACAAAAAGCTGTAGTGACTTCCCTCAGGTCTCTTTTCTCACCATCTCTCTGACAGTCCCGTAAGTGTAATTAAAAACTACTATCATCCTCTGTTTTCTTACTCTTCTCCCTGTTGCAAGAACATGTCCTCTGGTTCCATAATGGCCTCCCAGGGAACCTATCTGTAGCCAAAGTCAACTTGGAGAGCTGACATGACATGTTGGTGCGAGGTGACTCATTTTGACGTAGAGTTGACAGATCATGACTCAAGCCCATGCTGGCTTAAAAGAAGGGGAATTAAAGACCTTGACATCTTCACATAAATGGGTTTCCGGTGTTCGTCACCTTATGAGATTCTGTGACTGTCCTTTGAAGATGAGCTGTTGGGACTCAGGTTGTTATGCAGTGTGTGTCATCACCTACACACAAGAGCTTAGGAAAATATGTGATTGAGGGAAATAGACATTGAGGGGTGAGCAGTATCAGATGAGCTTAGCCGATGGAGAGATATGTGATTTAAAAAACTTCTCATTATACTCTTAATCCTTTTATAAAAAAAGAAACTAATTCAAGTCCAGCCGAGATATGAGCATGAGCTATTTATAAATGTACCCGACAGTAAAATAGAAAAGAAAAATAGTTAGTGCAAGCCCCTAGGAAGTGAGCCAGCCATTGAAGCCCATTTCCTATTGGCCAAACGCAGGGCTGTTTCTAGCTTTTTGGGAGCCCTATGCAAGATGCTGTTTGGGGTCCCTAGTTTTTTAACTACAATGGGGGGATTCCTAGGTCTTTAAAATGATCTGTGGAGACGCATCAATCTGTTACACTTTAAGAGGAAAACAGGCTAATTTCACGAAAACCAAGCAATTGAAACTTACAAAAAATGATATTAAAAAGGTAAACAATAAGGCTCCTCTACGTCAATAAATGCAAGAGATGCAGCATTTTCTCAACAATATATAATTTACATTTTTCATCTTCCTCACTCATTGGCTGACAGCCCAACGATGATTTGGACTTTATTACCCCAAAAACACAAGTCACAGCTTTGCTATCATTGCAGTTGAGTTGTGTTTATATCCTACATTTGATTTTTAAATATAATGCTTCACCAAACACAGGAGGGGGCTTGGCGGTCTACATTAAATACGTCTAACTTTAATTCTCCCCAAATATATTGAGGCTGAACCTGAACTTTCAGCTTGGGGGCCCCCTAGTGGCCGCGGGGGCCCTATGCATCTGCATAGTCCGCCTATAGGAAGAAACGGCCCTGGCCAAACGGTAGTACTACAACTTCCATGTCAATCACTTGAATCATTGGGCCAAAAAATACTTTCTCCCATTGACTTACATAGGTAAATTAAATACAAAGTACAAACACTAAAATAGGCCTTTTTTAAATCATTAGGACTTTAAAGTTATAAAATGGTTTAAAATGTGAGTTATTTTTCCTTTCATTTGACTGATGGAGACCGGTCTTGGCACTATAGACTGGAGGCGGGGCCTAAGGAAAACTCAAATGTGCATGCTCTATGGTCCCAATGGATGTGAAAGATTGCCAGAAGCTCTGTCTATTTTCTATTCCTGAGAGTCGGGCCATTTTAGCTTCATGCTCCTCTGAGCAACTTTCATAGGAATGAACGGGCCCCACCTCCAATGTTTTATCCGTACTTTGATCTGACCTCATTCTCTTTATACATCCATGAGTTGGCGACCTACACGTTGCATCAGCAAGTGTCTGACAGAGAGACAGGACTCTCTGACTAAGACTTCAATAGTAAAGTCTCGGTCCCTTCAGACAGGTGTCTTGGGTGAAGTCTCAGAGGACATACACTTCAAGGCTCCCAGCTGGAGCTTTAACTCTTTTCTTCTCTCCATCAAAAACTGCTTTCTTATATTCTTTCTGTCATTTTCTCAGAGAATCAGTCATGCTATGTTTCACCAAAAAGCTAAGAAGGAGAGTTGTTGTTCTTGCTTATAAAACTGCCACCGCTGTCACTTAACTCTTATTTCACAGAAGGCCTTAACACATTTTGATTGCCTTGTGTTTGTGCGACAGCAGTGATGACCTCTACTGTGCTTATGAGGAAAACTGTTTTCAGTGAAGATGCTTTTATAGATGAATGTGTGCGAAATATTGAACGAGAAAATGCGTTTCTGTGTCTCTGTAGTGGCATTGAAGACGACAGTGCCAGTCTAATGCAACAGAAGCTGGAAAAACAGGTAGGAACAAACTTGACTCAGGGTTAACCCTAACCTAACCTAAACCTAACCTAAACCTAACCCAAAGCTGTTTATATTTTTGCATGTGTAAATATTCTGTTGAAAATCTGTATTCCTTCACAGTTTCCAGTGACCTAGGACTGGTTACGAGGATTCAAAGGTCAACATTTACTTTGAAAAAAAGTTAGATAACATTTTGAAATTCATACAATCTTTTCATCTACAAAAATGTTGTGCTTCAATCCCTATTCGTGGTGGTAAGACATTCAAAAACACAACTTTCACTGCGGTTGAAAAGCTGTTTGCCCTCCTGCTTACCATACACAAAGGGAAGCACACTCTGTATTTACAGGGCAGTTTAGCAGCAAACTAACAGTACCGTCAATTACATTTATATAACAGCAAAATAAACTATTTTCCATCAGCATCTTGTGTTGTTTACAGCTATAAAGCAGCACTTTTAGCCTGATTAAGCTCTCGGCTCTAACTCACACATGGATGGTGGTTTTGAAAGCTAACCTGCCATGATTTAGCATGGAGCCGGTCAAATCTGAGTCCTGAGATGACCCTGTGCTCTGCCACTGCGGTGTCACCCAGGGGTGCCTGCTGTTGGCAGGAGTTTGTTATCACCGCAGTGGTGTGCAATTTAGCGATTGAAGTTGTTGGTTCGGAAACCTTCTGTTTGTCACCTGCCCGGTCACTTGGAATGTTGTTGCTCTGTCTGAATTAGTTTCCTTTCATCCCCCCCATAACCTGACATCGCCCATCTTCTGTTTCACATTTGTTCTCTTTTCATCCTTCCCCCCCTGAGTCTCTGTAAGATGCTTTATCCCAAACCTTGCTGAAGAGCCGGGGTTGTAGAGCTTTGATTTAAGCTGGAAGCCTTTCTCCACTATCTCACACATAAGGCAGACAGGAATGAGAGGAACAGATTGGTGAGTTCAAAGAGAGGGGAGGATTTAGTGCAGGCGCCTGGCTTTAAGTGTGTGTGTGTGTGTGTGTGTGTGTGTGTGTGTGTGTGTGTGTGTGTGTGTGTGTGTGTGTGTGTGTCACTGTGGCTCAGTTATGCTGTCCTAACAACCTCACTTTAGTCTTCTGTTCTTATGTAACATGAAGATAAATATTAAAAGCCAGAGGAGTAGGATTTTCCATAAAGCAAAAACATAGCAACCAGGTGTCTGATCAGAAGCACACATCCAAGAAGAGGCAACTAAAATGGAGGACACGCAAATGCAGGTACAGCGAGGTGAAGCGCAAAGCTGACAAAGGGGTTGGCTTTCATCCCCTCGCCATCATCCGACCCCTTGTTGAGCCCGGGAGGAGGGGCTAGCTTTAATAATGTGTTTACAAACCCCAACTGACAATACTTTATTTATCTGGGGGGGGATTTACTTTTTACACTTAATCCATTTTAGAATGAACTAAAAATAAAAGATACATTAAAACAAATTAAATTATTATTATCATAAACTATAAAGTAATTTTTTTTTTAATAAACATAAGAAGTCAAAGAAACATTTCCAATAAATTATAAAAGAAAATAAAACCTCAGAAGTTAAGATAAAGATCTGCACATACCACAATAAATATCATTTATTTTAAAAAATAAACACAGTGGTGTGTTAGCATTTATTGGCGGGGGGATTTGTGACGGCTGCCCATCAAAAAGTTGACTGTGTTTCTTCCATACTATTTTAAATAATACAATTTAATAATCAGAGAATAATATTAGGAGCACTGTGGTTGTTCCCCGTATCTCACTTTGAGCGCACCTCCCTCCCTTTTTCTCTCCCTCTATCTCTCTCCCTCCTGCTGTAGCACTAACGACGGCTGATTCAGAATCGGTGGCCGCGCACACACACACACACACAGACAAACAGACACACACACACACACACACACACACACACACACACACACACACACACACACACACACACACACACACACACACACACACACACACACACACACACACACAGTGGCGCTCAGCATTTGCCTGAGAGACAGACCTTTTCTCTGTCAGAGGAGCACAAAGTGCAGAGGAGGCTGTCGGTGTTTCAGCGGTCACACTCCAGATCCAGGAGAGGGGTGAGGGACAGGGAGTCATGCCCAGCAGGAGAGCTTCTCTTTGGGGGAGAACGTACTTACATCTGACCTCAAGACAAACTGGACTTGTGATGTTTTTTCTATAAAGACACCGGTTATTTTGAATCACTCTTGTTAAGGATGTCAATGGAACGGGTTGGTAACTTATTATGTTTATTTTTCTGATATATTTCCTTTTTACAAGTCTGATAATAACAGTTTGGATGCTTGTTCTTGATAGAAAAAGAAACCAAAAGAAAATTCAGACACCCAGTAATCTCTCACTGACTTCATTCAACTTTTGTTGTTGTATTATTTGACACACATTTTGTCTCACTTTTTCAGATGTATACCTTAATGTACTTTATCTCATGTTTTGGCTGGTACAGGAAAGACTGTATGCGGAGCTTGAATGAAGTCAGATTCCTGGTCTCAAATTCTTTACAAAACAATGCAGTATTACAATGGATCGGCTTAAAATAGCAGCTAGAAAGGGAAGGCGATACAATGTGGTCAGACTTTGATTAAATGAAGAATAAGTCAAGAGTGAAGGCTGACCACGCAGGCGAAAAAAAGAAGTCTTTGGACATAACTTTAGTCTCATGTTCAAGTGATTCTGATGCCGTTTTACTTAATTCAGTAGACCTCTTCCAAACAAAAGGAAGACTAAATCAGATCGCACTTATCCAGAAAATAACACTTACTTTGAGAAAAATCAATAAAATATAATGTTTAGCTCAAAGGTTAAAAGTGAAAAAAAGTTTGGAACCCATCATCACGTCATTAAATGTAATCATGTGTTTTTCCTGTATTACCATTTTGATATTTGGCTATATTTTCACATGCATATTTAACACTAACGGTAATGACAGTCATTATGATAATTCTGCTTTATGATTGATGCATTTTTCGCCTTTATTTTTTCGCCAGGAATGCAAATCCCGGGGTCCTTTTAAAAGCAGAGTTTTGGAATGATAACAAATCTATGACCATATTTTAAAGCTCATGTGAAAATCATCTTTCACTTGTACCTTTAAAATCTTAACCCACCTGTTGTCAATGCGTGGTTATTGGTTTTTATGGATTTTCTATGCCTCTATGTAAAAAAACATTATATTTATACACATGGCCCTCATAAATCACCACATGCAGTGGGAGCAGATCATGCTGTGGTTGAACTGACAACTGACGGAAAGAAACAGTGACACACATCTTTTCAAACACATGTTCTCAGTAACTGATGAGTTATGAAAGCTTTTTGGTTTGGCAAATACAAGACAAAGCCTCGCTACACAGCTTCACTAAACAAGACTTGTTGTGTATTTGACGCACTAATTAATGCGTTGTGTAATCAGTGGCGGAGCCAGGACATTTTCAGTGGGATGGCCAGGATGGAACCAGTGATCATTTTGGGGTGGCATTGAAATCACTATTATATGAACATAAAAATACATCTCACTAGAAAATAAGGGGTTATTTAAGGCACCTACAACACACCTCTACATTATTTGGGATTAAGTGGTGGAATAGATCAAATAATATTCAGTAGCCTATATCTAACAATTGTTTTCGTATTCCCACAGGCAAAGTATCAACGAAGCTTAAATTATACAAATGTAATGCAATATACAGACTGTTTAGCTCAGAGGTGCCCAGTACGTCGACCGCGGTCGACCAATGCTGGTAGATCGCGAGTCATTCATAAAAAAATTAATCCAGCTCCGTTAAAATCTGGTTAAAATAGATAAATTGATCCCTCCTCCCTTGGCCTCCCTGCCACTTAATTCAGGAGTTTACTTGATTGACAGAAAAAGCGACCTATCGCTTTCCAGTCTGTTAACCCAGAATGCAAAGCGATACAAAATCAGTCAAGTGCCGGGAAAACTCAAATTAAGTTAACAAGAGACAAACAACAAAATGAGTGCGGGACCGAGCAAGAAGCTAAAGACATACCACTTCCACCCAGAATGGGAGGAAGAATATTTTTGTTGTGATGTCACATTCAAAGGTTATTTGCCTTATTTGTAAAGCAAGCGTCGCTCTGCCAGAGAAAGGTAACGTGGAGAGGCATTATCGGAGTGTTCACAAGGCATATGACAGCGACTTCCCTCCGAGTAGCGAGTTGAGAAAGAGAAAGGTCATGTATTATTGCTACACAAACATTATCTTGCAGTCTTAGTGTCGCCAACTCGTTTCTAACATGCAAAAAGACAAACAAATGCGTCTATGGTCGGTGAATTTTCGACCTTTCCAATCCAGACCAAAGATTGTATATATAAAGATCCAGACGAGATCTCTCTCCCGTCTGTGTGCGAGGGGGCGGGGCAGTTTACACACGCGGCTGCTACATGCAGCAACACACGGAGGAGAGAAGCGCTCCAAGGTGTGGTTAAATGTTACCCGTCTTGAGGTGGACAATGCTCCTTCCCAAGAGAGTTCAGCATGTGAGGGCGGTAACACGAGTAATTTGTCTAAACATTTATCAAAAGTGCTCCACATTCAGACGGAGGAATGCACCGGGTTCGACTGTCTTTCTAGTAGCTCTGTAGCCCCATCCACGAGTAACTTTTCCACGTCAGGTGTTATGTATGCTAGCAGCAAGACACGGAGTTAACTCAATTATGTAAACATGGGTTAATGATTAGAGGTAACTGAGTTACTCTTTATTTTGTTACAGTTTCAGCTATTCTGTTTACAGTTCTGTCATCAGATTATTTATTATTTAATGATTTGTTAAAACACTGTTGTTTCTTTTGATGTGAAATATTATTTATTTAATTTAAATAAAAAGCAATGTTAATTTTGTTCACAATTTGTTTAGTTAATTTAATAATATATGTATTTTTGAATCAAGTATTCATCTTTATTGTCTTCATTGTTAGTTTCCACATGCCTAAAACAACTGGATACAGCATGACCAGGATGCATTTACTGCCTTTTATTGTAACTCAACATAAATCATTATTCGCTATACCATGGTACCTAAAGCAATGCTGTGTAGTCATTATGCTAAATAACAGAATTGTTGGATCTGCCTAATTTCTTCACAAAATATACAGCACAGCTTGCGGCGTTGAAAATGTACTGCACATTTTTGTCCGACCCTGACAGTTTGCAAAACTGTGAATTTTGATATTGCATACAGCCTAAAAGCAAACAAAACACCAGTGGCTATTCAGTGATCCCATTCAGAGGTATTCAGCCCTTGGAATCATTGTTGGGTTTTATTTCGGTTAATTATTTTAGCCCCTTCTTTTCTTTCTTCCCTCTTAAGGTTATGTTCTTGTTGTGTGAGTCATCCCACAGTCACATAACCTGTATTGTGTGTTTATCTTCCATGCAGTGTGGTTGTTTAACACTAATCTCGTGATTTAAGTCAAGCAATTTTCCTTTTTCTGTACCTTGCAAGGTTGCCATTTCTAGTACGTAAAATATGCATGCTTTGAGTCACTTATCCCATTATGTAGCTATATAATATGTATCCTGCTGCCTAACAGGGAGGATTTAGCACCAGGAGATTCACAAAAACACTGTCGAGGGTGTGACTTAATTACTTATTCAGCTTAGATGGGTTTTTGTCGCAGTTAAATGGCAGTGTTGGTCTGTTGCCGCAACACTTGATCTCAAAGCAGCATATTTTCACAACTGGAAGGACACTCTGAGAAAAGGTTTTAAAATAATCCCCATTAGCCTCAGCTATCTTCATGTTGATGTTATCCTCCTGGTCATTTGCATTACCTTTTGACAGGCACAGGTTGGAACTCATCATGCATACTAACGTTATTACTCTGAATAGAAGCCTAATGCATGTAGTTGTTTCCCACTCCTTTGCCTTCACATCTGACTGCGGTGTTCACAGCGTTTCTGCTCTTGTGTCCGGTCCACAGAGGGCCCTGCTGGAGCAGAAGCAGCGGAGGAAGCGGCAGGAGCCTCTGATGGTGCAGCCCAACACCGAGGCCCGGCCCCGGCGCTCCAGGACGCGGCGGGGGGAGGAGCAGGCCCCTCTGGTGGAGTCACAGGTCCACATTACCAACAATGTCATCATTGATGGTGAGGAAAATTGTGTTTAATTTCTTTAATCTTACAAATATGTTGGAATAATTCTGTATAACAGAATGGTTTTTAAAAAAAAATATGTCAATTATTTTTGTGATACATTTGGTATAATATACATACATACAATGTGAAGGAACATAGATACAGCTCCCTTACACAAACACAAATAACACCCTCCCCATGACCCCTGTGAGCTGGACTAAGCGCCAATAGGTAATAAGCATAATTACACATTAATCAGAAAAGAGGAGAGAGAAAGGAATCACATCCAGTGCTACATTATTTTGATGTAGTTGGAAAGGCAGTTTCATAGTGTGCCACTGCATAAATGCACAGCATACACTAAAGATAATGCAGTAATTGGTGTTACTGTACTGCAGACTTGCCCTGACACAATCCAGTCTCACGGCATTTCGTGTTCACCAACACGATTTTTAATCTATTGATTCGTGTTCCCCAACACGATTTTTAATCTATTGATTCGTGTTCACCAACACGATTTGCCCCTTTTTTTTCGTGTTGCACAGCACGATTTTAAAAGCAATGTATTTCTACTGCCTGCAGCACGTATTTTTCTCCGGTCGGGTCGTGGGAGACCGGAAGCTGTGTGGTTCATAAAAACATGTTCTTACTCAATATCAAGTCACAGTTATTGCTTTTATTTTAAATCGTATAATTTCGAACTTTTGTTGCCGTCTGTGAGGAAAATAAATGGGGCTCAGAGCCTCAGAATACTGAAATCTGTATTTTTGAAATCTTTTTTCCTTCTAATTTTGTATTATTTTCAAAATAACACACTGTTATTTACTCACCAATAACACACAATTATCCTTGCTTTTATTTATTGGTTTAATTCCATAATCTCTGGCTTTTTTGGCGTCCGTCAGGAACTGAATTTCAAAAGAAAAATAACCGGAAACAGACGTAGGCATTTCGAGCGATTACCCAAGATCCTCAGCTATGGTTTTAAGCTCGCTTATTGGATGTTTTAGCCGCAATGCATGCTGGGATTTGGTGTTTATATGATATGAAATCCGGAAAACATTTTAAAAGAATACTTAATTCCGAGCGCTCTTGCTTTTCTCTTTGAAAGTCATCACATAACGGCATTGTAATGCACGGTTCGGCTGCATTGTATATTACAGATCTGCCGTAGTTCTTTATTTATAGAGCCCTGATGAGAAGACCTTTGGAAACACTGAGAAAATGCCGCCGAAACTGAATACTTGACGTGGATCATAAATATATTCAACAATTAAACAACATCTTCAATTTCTCTTCACACAATACGTCTCCTTGCAGTATCAACACTAATTCGGCTGACTTTTAAATTTGATCTAATTCACAGATAGGTTATATTTAAACCATAACGGTGCACAGCTGATATAAAAGGACTGTAGTTTTTAAAGATATTACTGATTTTCTTTGAATGTAAGAATGTAAATACTGAGTCTGAAATAGTATAGCAATATGCTGTAAAATTATGTGAAAGCATGCATAAAACTACACATCTTCAGATGTACGAAAACATAAGTGTCCTACATTTATAATACAAAGTTATTATGGCTGGGTGTACCTTGTGTGCACCTCCTAGTGGTTAAAGCACGTTATTGAATTATTGTTATATTTGATTAAAAAAATATTAAGAGTACATACTTTCATAGGGGGAAAGTATAAATATAGAATGTACAAAATCAAGAAGATACTCCAAGTGATCTCTACAATAAAACAGTTTAGTGCAGAATGTACAAAGATATTAATAGGAGGAGGTGCAAAACAGAAAAACGAATTAACCTTTATTTAAACATTAAATAACAGATTAAGGTCTTCTTTTAAATAAGAAAAACACGTTGGGGGTATCTATCTACAGATAAATATTAAGCCTGACAAAGTACTTAACGTCTAATATATTGCTTTCCTGCAATGTTAACTATGTTGAAGCACTTATTTTAACTGATATTATACATATGAATTATACTCTTATGTATGTAGATAGAATAAGACATTTGCAGAATATGACAGTTTGATGGTGGAGGTACACACATATTGATAGATGTCTTGTTGAGGAACCTGTGACCCAAGTGTTTCATTCATTGCATAACTACACCGTAGTTGTGTATATGATATGTCAATAAACCTTTGAAAATCTTGAAAGGGATGTGCAAAATAGCCATAATATAAAGTCTTTAATTAACTATTAGTAGAGAATAACGAGTAATGAATATACTTTATTACTCGTTTCCATTCATGTCAATTGCAGATACATGTTTAGTCTTCTCAAGCACCAACTATCAAATATCTCTCCTGATTGTTGGCACTTGACAATCACCTTACCTGAATTTTTTTACACAGTTCTGTGTAATTACCACATTTACAACTAATCTAATAAACCTCTGACTGCGCTCATCTCCTGTAGGTATTGATGGCCCGGCAGCTTTCCTCGGCTCTGAAGCTCCTGATCTGGGAATGAAAATCCTGTCAGTCAGCCAGACCCAGACCCTGTCCCAGTCCCCTGTTGCTGAGGAGCCTGAGAGAGATGGAGACACTGAGACGCTGCTGCAGCCAAAGACAGATATCCACGAGTTACTGCAGAAACAAGGTGAGTCCTGGGAAAGCTAGGTTGACTTTAAAAGAGGAAATTCACGTTGGTTTTTATTTTGTGAACATAGAGTTGAAATATAGTTGCATCATTTGGAACAAAGCTTCAAAAGTCTGAGATTTTTTAGTAATTGATGGAAAATTACACTTTTCTGCCTGAATATTAATTTAACTAACTCCATACATTCTTATTAAGGAACACATTTTCTTACTCAGACAGTTCAAATCCACAAAGCCCTCTGATTGCTCAGGGGACGTACTGCCTTCAGTCAAACATAAGAGCCACATTTGGTTTCATGAGCACGCCTGCTGCATTACTCGCCTTCCTCCCTGACGCCGTGGAGTCCCCTGATGCTGTTTCCACTCTGTGTTAATGTACTTGTTTATCCAAATCACTCCAGATTAGCCGCTGTTGTTCAGCAAAGTCCCATTTTTTAATACATCCCCAAAGATGTTTTAATCACCCCCCTGCTGCAGTGTGGAATAATGGAGAAGACAGTGGTGTGATTGATGGGGAGGCAGTGAGAAATGGGTCATTTAATAATAGGCCGGGCATTGTTCACACTGCAGTGCTCATCTATGGCATCACTATAGATACTGCTACCCACATTAGCAGCCAGCTGGCATGCACTTGTAAACTTTATGGAAGAAATGTTCTCTTCTAATCCACTGCATACAGAAATAAAAAATGATTTTTGTATTGGCCAACGTGCAGTGGAAACGGGTTTTGGAGACTTTGACGGAAAGCATTTTCTGCCTGTGCTTTACTGTGACAGTAGCAAATCGTCCTTCTGTATAATTAAAGGTCTCATTGTTCATGTCAGCCCAGTGAAGCGGGGGGAATATGTCCTCAGAACCGAGAGCAGGTATTTTTGGCTCTCTGTTCCATTGAATACACCCACCCCTGAGGAAATGGAAGAATGACAAAGTCTGTGGAACATTCATATTTGATCAGCTCATTCAATCAAGTATTTTTGACTTGATCCATCTTGTTTGGTGTTATTCAATAGGTTGTTGGGTAGAGAATCCTCTTTCCAAATGGTTGGTCTCACACAAGATGTTTCGGTGTGTTTATTGAGCTCTATTGCCACTGTTAGAGGGAAGCTAGCATTTTCTATCGGTACTTCATAACGCTATTTGCTTTCTCTCAGGGAAAGCTGCACTTCTTGGGTGCATCTCTTGTAAAAACATTGTGTGTGGCTCTGTTGTCCGTCACATCATTATTCTTGTTCAATACTGCATACAGGCCAGTGCTCAGGACATGCTGGCCAAGGTGGCAGGATGGCTCTTCTGTGTGCCAAATATAAAATGCTCTGGCTGTGTGAAGAAGCAGGCTTTACCAGCGGTGTGCTAGAATTAATATTATGTAATCACTTCACAGCTAAAGATTGGATATCCGGTAATAGGGACAATGCTGCATCAAATGTCCTACCAACCACATGATTGGAATTCATTTCATTTCTGGTCGATCATTTCAAGTTAAATGTCATCATTTTACATATTTATCAGAGACACACCAGTGGACCACTGTCGTCCTCTGACAGCACATTCAAGTGGACTACAGCTGTGTCCAGGGCCAGGCAGATAAATCCAATTATCAATGAGGAGACAGATGTCTCAAGCAGTGCAGAGCGCCATCAGTGAGTCATTTTTCATCTGCACGACTGCACGGAGCTGCCTCTCCACAAACACACAGATGCAAGCTATGGGTCATCTGCTCACATTAATGTCAACCTTGCAGAAACAGGCTCAGAAAAAGATGCATTGTTTGTGACAGGTATTGAGGCCATGAGCTAAATGTGATCTTTCCGTAGGTGAATGATGAGCAGAGCTTAAATGGGAAATGTTCAACTTTACCCCCCCACAACCCAGGAAACTATCTGCAAGGATTACTCATTGTTACTCTTCAGTTAGTGGAGATGGTTACCAATTTCGGACGGGAAAACAAATACCTTTACACATTTCACTTTGTGTGCTAACCCAAGCCTTCATTTTCTGAAGAGACGTACCCAGTGGCAGACAGAATTGCATAGTTAAAGCAAGGCTTATTAGGAACCAATCTAATACCAAATGGTGTTTGCATTCTACTGCCATTAGTATGCAATCAGCGTTCATAATGATAAGTTCAAGCTTTAAACGTTGCCGCTTTGACTTCATTGTTGTTGTTTGATAGGAAGCAGTTCAAATATGGCTTTCTTAAATTTGCAAGGCTTTATCCACTTTCCTCTTTTGCTGTTAAACACTTGAAATAATTCCCTGTGTAAAAAAAAAGGTAGCCTAACTATACAATTCTACTGCAATATTTTTGCTTCAACTGATGCTTTGTTATTGCATCAGTTACTTGTCATATCCAAGACCATAGATGAAACTGTGAAATCCACCTCGGGGGACGCTTTTGAACCACAGAAACCCCTGGGAAGAAAGAAGGAGATTCTATATGCACAGTCTCTGGGATTTATTTTCCTCTTGTGTTGATTTGTGTAGAAAAAGAAAGGCGTCTCACATCTCTGCCCCCTCTCTCTCCAGGTCTGTGTGGCAGTATGAACTTTGATGAAGACAGCGAGCATGAGGACGATGGTGAGGAAGAACGAATGCGCTCCCTGTCCCCCAACGCTGACATCAGACCAGCCTCTGCCGCCAGTGGCAAGGACATTCCAGTGAGTAACAAATACACCAGGCGTAGATGACACAATACCAGTGAAATACAGTCTAAAAAGGCTGTTATTTGAACTAAAGCACTGTGTTGTTCCCAGGAGGGGAGCTCCGGATCTCCCACAGCAGAGAGCGCACTCGATGTGGCTAACCTGGAGGAGTTTGTCCTGCTTCCTGCTCCACGTGGAGTTACTGTTAAATGTCGAATAACCCGGGACAAGAAGGGCATGGACCGCGGCCTCTACCCCACCTACTTCATGCACATGGAGAGAGAGGATGGCAAGAGAGTGAGTAGCCTGAGAAGAACTATGAGTAATCCATGATAACTATGATTGAAGAATAGACCTTTGGTGTTAATAGCCTAAGTGTACAGTAAAGATTTAAATATATGCCTTTCTTGTCTCTTTCCAGGTCTTCTTGCTGGCAGGAAGGAAGAGGAAGAAGAGTAAGACATCCAACTATCTTATTTCAGTGGATGCCACTGATCTGTCGAGAGAGGGGGAGAGCTTCATAGGAAAACTGAGGTAAAAAGCCATTTCTCTTGTGTCCACTGAAGAACACATTGTCTCTGTCATTTTCTGATAGCATTCATAAACATACGTCTCAAAGTTCAAACTGAAATCTGGCTAAAATCCACCTGAAAATACTGTTTAGTTGAGTTTTTCACGTTTATGACACGATTGTTAGAAATAGCTACATTTGATGGCACTTTAAACAAACTACATTTGAGCTGATATTTCAGACACTTAGCAAGTCTTTGCAATGCTGTTAATAAACTGTGTACAAAGCATGAATTAATAGCTGTTTATACGCGCTGTACCATGTGTCATTTCTTATATTCAAAGCCTCTGCTTGTGTTTTGAGATCCCCCTAAAAAGATATATTTAAATCCTCAGAAAATCCTCAATTTGTGTGTATTTCAAAGCTGTGTCAAAGGCTTTGTCACTGCCCAAGTTATGTTTGGCTGCTTTTAAGAAGCACATTGCTACTACCCATGACTCAGATATGTGCCAAATACGGTGTGAACCTTTTGTGTTGTTTTCTATCAGGTCCAACCTCATGGGCACCAAATTCACAGTGTATGACAACGGCACCAATCCCTGCAAACACCCCGGGACGCTGCTGGAAGAGAGCAACACCCGACAGGAGATGGCTGCTATCTGCTACGTGAGTGAAATGCACACAAAGTCCCCTGCCTTTCATTACATTAAAGTGAAACTGTCTCACCCTCTGTTCCACTTGGCAGGAGACCAACGTGCTGGGATTCAAAGGACCTCGTAAGATGACCGTCATCATTCCGGGTATGAACATGAACTTCGATAGAGTCCCCGTACGACCTCAAAACGTGAGTCCGATGCTCACGAAATATTCACTTTAAGTAGAATGTTTTATAAGAAGCAAGACGGGACAAAAGGTTCAACTCCAGGATCGAGACATTCTTATGTACTTCATGGCTGAAAGTATGGTCGCAGATTTTTTGAAGTTAATTGTATTTTTAGGGAAATTGCATATCCATAAAAAGAAATGGGCTGACTCCAAACCACATTTTTTACATTTCTATCAAGAATTTAAACAATATATTAGCACTATTAAAAACACAAGGAATAAGAAGGGCAATCAAAATGTATTTTACTTTCTTTTTTTTCTTTATGTAATGTTTTGTTGCTTTGTGTATCTGCCCCTGGACTTTGTTGTGTGTAGAATGTATGATATTCATGTGTGATATTGAATAGATAAATACAACTTCACTTTAAATACGAGCATCAACTGAATGAATAAAAACCTGAATGTGTTGGTATTACAGGAGCAGGAGAGCCTTCTGAGCAGGTGGCAGAATCACTCTCTGGACAACCTGATCGAGCTGCACAACAAAGCCCCCGTGTGGAACGATGACACCCAGTCCTACGTGCTCAACTTCCACGGCCGCGTCACTCAAGCATCAGTCAAAAACTTTCAGATAGTTCACGACAACGACCGTAAGTATCCAGCACTAATCACTGTTTGTCCTCACACATTTTCCCTGATGATTAACTTTCCGGATGTTTCCCATACCTCCAGCTGACTACATCGTCATGCAGTTCGGCAGAGTGGCTGAAGACATCTTCACTCTGGACTTCAACTACCCCATGTGTGCACTGCAGGCCTTCGCCATTGGCCTGTCGAGTTTTGACAGCAAGTTGGCCTGCGAGTAACGCTTAATTCCACATCACCACATTTCCTGTCCTTCCCTCAAACTCTTCTCCAGGGGCTGTTTGGAAGCCGACAGCTTGCACCACGGAGAGCTGGTTCACGCAGAAGTCACACAGATACGAGACTGATAAAGAGGATACTGATCAGAGATTTGGGTGATCCAACAACCGTCTTGGTTCCATTTTAGGGTTAGGATGATCAGTTTAACTGTGTGTATGTGCACACGTATTAAAAGGGAAAAGAAAGAGCAGAACATACTTTCATATCTTGTCAGACAGGCTTTTTTCTGTTGCCTTCCTTTGATTTCACTCTGTCGTTGCTCAAAAGATGGCGATGTCTGAGATGTTACTCAACAGAGTGTAAACCATTTTGAATTACAAAAACATGGCCTTTCCTCTGGCGCCACCCTCAGGCCAAACGTTAGAGTTATTTAGTGATAAGGGACTAAGAAAGCAAAATTCAGTTTTGCATCAAAGCCAGCATTTCAATGTTGTTTACATCTTTAAATGTGGCTCCATGATTTCATATAACTCATGTTGACACTATTCTCTTATCATCAGTTTGTCAACTCCTTCTCGTGTGGAAGGTGCCTGTCTTACGGTTTTTGTGTTTGTTTTTTTTGTGAATATGTGTCATTTCTATCTTGTGACTGTGATTTTTCTTTGTTATAACACGTTGGATTATCATTGAAAAAATAACATAAACACAGAATTGCACATTTAAAGAGGAAGCATTAACATACTGTTTATACAATGCCCTCTTTTTAATCCATTTTTAAACAACATAAAATACTAAATGTCCTTTCAAGACATGGATTTTTAAAATAATGTATGCATTAATACACTACACAGATCTTATATTTTCATTGGAGCACAGATTTTATTGAGTTAAGATGGAGTTGGAGGCAATTTTGTACAGCCCACATTAAATTGTATTTGCATGGAAGTGTCTAAAATATAACTGCCAGTGTCTCTTCAACTCAATGTCTTACCCTTTACATTTTAAGGGAAACTTAAGGGAAATCGATTAAAGCTGGCATCCTTTACATCATCATTAAATGTCCCTTACATCTTGTTTATTTACTGTACTGTAATGTTTAAAATGGACCTGAAAACATCTGTATAGTACACATATTTTTAAGGACATATCTAATGCAGTTACTTTAATCAGTCTAATCTGGAACAGAACATATGTTTAGGGCTTTTCAGGTTTAGATCTCATTTGAAATGTTGTTTCTTGATCAGAAATCCCAAACAAATACCTGTTTTAAAGAAATTAATAATACAAATATTTTCAACTGTGTGCCAGGAACTTATGAAAATAGTTGTCATTTTGTGTGCAATGAAGTTTTAAAGAGAGGAAAAAAATGTATAGAAAATATTTGTGAAATATATCATGCTTTTACTAGAAGAGACTGTTGTGATGCACATTCCAGTTTAACGTTTGAAAGACACAACCAGATATACGGCTGTATTGGAACAGATGAAGATTTAACAATGGACGATCAAACCTGAAAATCATGGTGAAACACAGAGAGAGAGAGATGAATGTATTCAGTGAACAATTTATTTTCACTTTCGAGAGAAAAACAAAAAGTACTTATTTCCATCATTGTAAAAACATTTAATAACCAAAATAAAGACATTTTGAAAGTGCTTTGTAAGTGTGAACGTTCTGCTTCCATGTCTTCAAGTAAATTGCACATAATTGATGCATTGTACATTTTGTCTCTGAGCGAACAACTGATAACTTTCAGCTCAACTGGACACCTTTAACACTGTTAATGTCTGAACGATCAACAAACTCTTCTGCTCTTAAGGAGTCAAATTGCAATCTCTTTGGGCAGATCTTTGTACTTGATGAGGTAGTATGGGTAGCACTGACAGCTGTCAAAAACGACAAACATGGTGGGGTTTTCCTCGTCGTCCACGCAGGTGTCGTAGAGACCGATCGGCCTCTTCTTGGACTTGATTGGCGGCGGCCGGCGGTAGTTGGGCATTCCCTGAGTCACGTTCCCCACCAGCACTTTGACCAGGAACATGTGGTGGACCCCGTTGGGCCGCGCTATGGCTGAGTAGGTGTTGGAGTAGGAGGCGGAGATGGAGAAGTAGGATCCGAAACCGCAGGACGTCCCATTTAGCCCGGCTATGCGAGGGTCGAAGTTGGTGCGGCAGATTTGCTCCGAGGCCTTTTTGTTGGTCCCGTGGAACAGATGTCTTTCCAGAGGCTCCGTAGACACCTGATGCTTCTGCATGTGCGCCTTGTGCCTGTAAAGACAACGTACATATATCAATGTAGCTTGTGTATTTTGTTCCTACTTCCTTTGTCATTGTACTTCACTTGAAACGTAAATATAGACAGATATATCCAAGCACATTCCATCCACCATATCCTCAGGGGAGCAATTTCACACCGAATGAAAGAGCCAGCCTTTGGTTTTTATAAAAAAAGGCCAAATATTGTCACCTAATCGTGACCTCTGTAGTCGAGACTATAAAAGACTACATTTCCCACGGCGCCAGCCTCTTAAGAGACACAGATATGGGCAACCTGTTAGCAAGATGCCGTCAGGACAGTTTTTATTTTATTTGAGTTTTGCCTCTTGTTTGGATTTGTTTAACTATTATAAAGGCCTATTTTCTTTGTTGAATGATATGATTTTATTTTGATTAAAGATGAGATGCACAACATCACCATAGCATCAGAAGGTGAACAAGTCATCGAAAAACAAATAAATGAAAAGGTAACGATAGAACTGTCTGTTTAGGGCGTCTAAGTGGCTGATGGTAACTAAGGAAGGAAGCGGAATGTTTTTTAGAGCACAAACAGCAGCTGAACCTTTGGTACTTGTCCCAGTGGAGGAGGTTCTCCACCTGCTGGATGCTGATGATGTCCACTTCGGTCTCAGGCAGGCTCTCGTGGAAGAAGTTTTGGACGCTCCGATAGGCCGCTGTGCCCGCAGGAAGCTCCACCAGGCTGAAGTCCTGCTCTGAGGCCAGACGCCACACCGGAGGATACCAGGAGCTGAACTCCTTCAGAGGGTCCACGCTCAAGTCGGCCCCCGGAGGATCACTGACAGGCTCAGCTGGGTCACTCTGGATCCCTGTCCTGGGTGTGGAGTAGAGGAAGGGAGGATATTACTGTTGGGCTTTACTGAAACAAACACTTTTTTTTTTTTTACACTTTAATTGAGGTTTTTGAGTGTTGCTACAAATGTATGTCATCATATACAGTATAATGACCAAACAAGAGACCAACATGGGTACAGACTTCAGGTAAGGCTTCATGGAATCGGGGGAGCGGTAGACGGGTCTGCAGCGAACTTCTCTAAAATATTTTGTGGTGACATTGATCTGGACCATGGTAGTGAAGTCCAGCTTGTATTCCTGTGAGCCGATAAAATAAGAGCACTCTGGCTCCTTTTCGCTCATCTTCTTCAGTAGCAAGGTGGACAAAGTCTAAAGAGAAATGAACAAATAGATGATCAAGGAACAGCTGGTAAAAGTAAAGGACCACAGAGCCAAGGAGCGATAATGGAAATGCAAAGTATAAAAAACATTCACCTGGCTGTATTCTCTCCAGATGAAGTGGTCCAACCAGTAGATTTTCCACTTACTGGTCAACAATGGGTACATCGGACAGTCAGAGTTAGTCAGTCGTCTAACTTGATCATATTTACATGAGTCGTCCAAATCCATGAAGGTAAAGTCCAACTGGGATTTGACATTCCTAAAGGTGTGTTTGATGAAAAATCTTTGTAAGTCACAATTAACATTTAACACGTTTTTGACATGTTTTTTTGCAGAAATTAACATTGTGTCATTTTCAGAGTTTAAGTCAAATCAAATCAAGTTTTATTTATATAGCACATTTATAAACGATTTTTGGTCGAGCCAAAGTGCTGTACATATAATAAAAATAGCCTACAGTAGAGACACAAGTGAAGACATGTCCTCGTTCTCACCCATCCTTGATGCAAATGACCCTCTGGTTGACATCGCAGTAGAGCCTCTCCAGTGAGACCTGAGAGCGATGGGGAATGTCGATCCAGTTGTGGCTGACCAGACACCACAGCTGCCAGTGAAACGGGTAGGGAGTGTGGTGCCTGTTACACATACTCCCTGCCTGGCACAAATTTAGGAGGAATTTGTCACAGATCTGGATGTCAGAGGAGATCTTTGTGTGGAACAGAGAGGGGGGAGGCTCTACGGACAAGGCCTGCTGCTTGGCGGGGGGTATTAGGGTCGGGATGGAGGGTAGGACCTGTGTCTGATTAAGGGTGCTGGTCTGGTGGAGACTAGGCTGAGGTGAGGTGATGAAGAGAGGCAGGCAAACGATGATGGAGTTGGCCTGCGTTGAGGTTGAAGGTGAGTTCTGTGGTTGACCTGGAGGGCTGGGCAGAAATTGGGTGCTATTTTGGGAAAGAGAAAGTAAGACCTGCTGCAGGGAAAGAGCCTGAATCATCATCTGAGCCTGCCCAGTCGTGGAAGGAGGCACTAAGGTGGAAGTGCTTTCAGTTTGGGTGGAAGTTGTAATCTTGCCCTGCTTAGCGGTCAAAGGGGTTAAATTCACACTGATGCTGTAGGGGTTGACGGTCCAGGCGATGTCAACAAGCTGGGATCTCATGGCCTCCCACACTGGGAGGCTGGTGTTGGTGTCAGCTGGGATTTCCAGTAATACAAGAGAGGGGCTCAGGAAGGTGACTTTGGATGGTTTGGACCGGGTCTTCAAAACTGCAACACTGTCAGCCGACTTTCTCTTCTTTCCTTTGCAAGATGAAGGCATCATGGTCCTCCTGTAAAAAATACATTTTGGTACAGACACAATGGCATTGGGAATTGCTAAATGTGACACAATTTAGATGTTATATATATTGTTTCTTTGTTATTGCTGAAATGATGGTTGGACATTTTTGAGAATTTTACTCCAGGTTTAAATAAAGTCTTATTTTAGTGTTGATTATATTTCACATGATTAACTAAAGTTACTAAATAAATGTTGAGAAGTAAAAGTAAACGATTTAACTCTGATATGTCAGGTCGAAGTACAAAGTAGCAACAAATTGAAATACTCAAGGAAAGTACAAGCCTCTCAAAAGTGTACTAAAGTACATTACTTGATCACATTATCTTAAAACGTTATACCACTGAGTATATGTATTTTGCTTGTTCACATTTCTAAAGAAAATGTTTAATAAAAATAAAATGTTAAACATTGTTTAGTCCTTGAACATGGTGGAGGCTAAGGCTAAGTGAGTTTAGCTAAAACATGTGGAGGTTATATTGTAGCCTAAGGAATCAAACTACAAAGAAAACATGTTTTATGGTGAATGGAGGTCTTAAATATATGTATTACATTTAACAACCTCTCACCAACGACATGACGTTCACAACTTGTTATCGTTATTCTAAATTTAAAACACATGGTGTGCTATAATCATCTTGCACTACTAGCATTACGGCTATAACTAGCTAATGAAAGCTAATTAACACGTGTGTATTTAGCTAACCTTACCGTGACACCTGCTGAGGCCTTTGATGTTTTAACTTTGCTGGGAAAAAGCAGCTTCCCAATAAACTTCACTAAGTCGTTATGGAAATAATGTTAAAACTTGTTCAGAACATTTACAGGTAGGCCTAATAGTAAAACAACGTTTGTTAAAGTTAGGTGATTTAAGAAGAGGAAGGCATGTCGACGTGCCAAGCTTCACTGTTCAGTGGGTGTGGTCAAGTGATGGTAGAACTTGTCATGAAAATACCAAAAGTAAAACAAATAACAGTATCAATTAAGTATACCCACTTTTTGAACGTATTGAAAGTTACTGTAGCTACTACAAACGGATACAACAGGCTATGGGCCTCCAATAGGTTGCAAATTGTGCTGTGAGGTTGGCTGTGAATTGGAATCATAAAATGCACCAGACAAAATAAAATGTTTCATCCTCTCCTCTAATAATACACACACAAAAATCCCCAATAATTGTAAAATGTATTTGTTAACCATTCATTTTAGTCTACTGAAATAACCCATTGTGAAAACCAGTTTTGTCGCCTGCTTTATTGTATTCTGTAGAAACTAGATGGATAAAAATGTTGAGTGATTTTACAGTTATTATTGATATAACTACAGGGTATATCTGTAATAATTGTATATATGTGTGTTGCCTGTCTTGCCAATTTTATTTTAAGCAGTTTGCACAAAAATCAAGGGAAGTTGTGGTATTTGCAAATCATTTAATTGTAGATTAGCACCCTCATTAGCATTTGCACATAAATGTATCTGTAGATATAAACAAAATTGGGCTGAATAAACATTTAGAATTTGACATGCACATTCAAGATTGGGTTACTCTGATTCATCAAACTAAAAGGCACACTGTTAGATTGTTTACAGAAACAACTTAAAATAAATATTTAAAAGTTCACAATTGGAAACCGTTTAAAACTGAAAAAAAACAAGGACATTGTTGTGAGGGAGGAAATAAAGTGCTGAAATTATGCCATTTGATTTCAATACTGTGTAAAACAAAACAAAAAGACCCCATTAATTTTTTTACTGAGAGTACAATGTAAAAGTTATGCACTTTCAGAAGTATTCAACCGCTTTCACAGAAACCTCCAGCGGCTCCACCTTTAAAGGACACTGCTGACACCCCACCCAGAAGTAAGGGAAGACCCTCTCAGTGATGGCGTGCTTGAAGGTGTAGATGTTAGTATTGTCATGCGGGTCGTAGAAGGACACCCTGCCTTTGTCACAATCCAGCTGCACTCTGATCCTCTGAGGGTTCCTCTTCAAGTTAAGCCTTGTCAGAGGAGAAGTGCCTGCAAAGTACATCTTGTGGTAAAAGTAAACGCACAGGTAGCCATTCTTCAGCACTGAAGACACTTTCTCTTTCCTCTGGACAGACTCTTTAGCCAAGCCGACCACCCACGCCGTGCTATCCCCCACATTCACGTCCCAGGCGTGCTTGCCAGAGGTGAAGCTCTCGCGGCCCAGCACCCCGGTGTCAGGGTCAAACCTCTCCGGGTTGTCGGGCATCTTCTGTTTCTCTTCACTGTCACAGACACTGCTCAGGTCGTCTGACAGGATGAGCCACGGGGCAGCGGTGTTGGGGTCCAGAGTCACCGGGGCTGAAGGAAACACATTGTCAGCACTGCAGAGGTGGGAAGTAGTGAAGTACAAATACTTTGGTATTGTATTTGTCTTGTATCAGTACTTTACTCCACTATTTATTTGTCTGTCAACTTTTTACTTTCACTACTTTCATTTTTAACACAAATATCTGTACTTTCTTCTTCTTACATTTTCAAAACAGGCTTGTTTCTTTAGTTTTAATCTGCATTTTGTGGCATGATCATTATTACTTGGAGTCATTGCGTGCCTAATTCATACAGAAAACGCGACCGGTGTATGTATGACAATGACAATGAAAGTTGTGTTCTATTAATATAAAGTGAGGTCCATTTACCAGCTTGACTATAAAACAGTTGGTAGTTATGGCTGCTTCTTTTTTTTTTAACTTGAGCACATTTCAAAGCCCATACTTCTTTACTTCTACTTGAGTAAAGAAGTAACTAAAAGTAGGTGGATTATGTACTCACTGTATTTGACGATTTCCCCCATCTTCTCCCACACATGGAAATTTAAAGACCCGAGATATTGGGCCACATCGACGAGTGCTCCGGGAGCCATGACTGGGTCTTCAATTGGGCTGTCAGCTCTGCAGAGAGCACACTTAGGTTAGTCTATGTGACTTGTTGTGAAAGCAGAGAAAAATAAAGACAAATATGCAAGATTATTTTTCACCTTGACAATGTGCTCTTGCATTTCTGAAAAAAAGAGACAAATAATTTAAAGAAATCAACTATTTCTATGGAATTATCTTTGCATTGCTTCACATTGTAAACACTCCCAAACTTACATGAAGGATAGAAATGCCCTCTGAAGCTATCTCCTCCTCTAAAACTCGGATGGATTCAGACACATATTCTATGCTTCTGGTTATATCTTCAATTCTTTGCATCATCTCCCGACTCTTATGCTCTTCCTCCCCCCGCAGAGCGTCCATCCTGGCTTCCTCCTCGGCTAAGAGGAAGCTGTGAAGCTTTTCAAACTCCTCTCGGGTCCGCCTCTCCACAAATCGGGCCTGAAGCTGAACAAAAAAAAACATTCTTATTAGCAAGGCTTTGAAATGACCAGCACATCTATTCAATAGCATTGTTGATTTTTTTCACCCAGGTGCAAATAGCATCTGTCTTAATTAAATGAATTATTTTTGCAGAAATGTCACAAAAACAGCAACTCACCTGAATGTATTCCACACTATTCTCATATTGTTTCTTCGTGTTATTAAAAGCATCCTTTTTCTCATGCATTGAGCTGAGGGCAGTTTTCATTTTCTCCTGAGTAGATAATAAAGAGAAAGGGAATATGAATACATGTTCAAAATAAATAGATTTATCTTTAAAAGGCTGCTAACATCTTTAAACACAACAGCTGTTCGGGGAGCAAACATGCATCATTAGTCCACCTTAAGTCTACTTTAGATCTTGAAGGCATGGTGTTTACCTTCACATCTACGACAGCCTCACTGACAGGGCAAAAATCGTGCTGTTTGTGCTTCCTTGAGGTGTGGCAAACCACGCAGATAGGCTCCTTGTCCTGCAGACAGAAAAGTTTCAGCCTTTCCCCGTGAAGGGGGCACATCTCCCCTGGATCAGAGTACAGCTCTCCGGCTGGGTCCTCCAGACCCTCACCCTCCTGGATGTAGGAGTCACACAGGTTCTTCAGGGTGAGACTGGGCACAGGGTCATCCACACTCTGGCTCCTGCACAGAGGGCAGTCCCGGCTCCGTGTGCCCTGAGTCCAGTACTGCTGCAGACAGGGGGCACAGAAACTGTGGCTGCACTTGAGGACCACAGGGTCCCTGAAAATCTCACAGCAAATTGAACAGGAGAGGTCCACTTCCTGGAGGGAGAGCCTGCCTGCCATTCTGACACTTCGCTCCTGTTTACTCTGAAATGAAAGTAGAGCAGAGATCAAACACAGGAGAAAACATTCTTTATACCCACAATCTCTTGCTATGTATTCTATTCACGTCACAGTATAAACACTACTGAATCCTAATCTTTCTTTGATTGAATGTCTTTTTCATCTAAAAAATGGTTAGAGCCAAACATACCTCTCAACAACAGTCCTGTGACAGATATACGTGTTTAGATTTCAGCTTCCTGCTTCCTGTTTTGATGAGTCATCCAAAGGAGGTGGAGTCTAAGAGGCTGAGCAGGCATTAACCCTTTACTAGCCCTAACGTTATTTACAGTTCAAATGAATGGTTCCCAATGGGAAACACTGTGGGGATTACCAGATGAAGCACAAGAGATGACTTTTTTTTTTTGCTACACAAAATGATTTCCTTTATTAAAAGAATACTCCAATTATATTTGTAGATTGTTTTCCAAGATGTGTTGCTTTGCAATACAGCATACTTAAACCTCTACAAGGCTCTCAAAAGTATTAAACATGATGTTCTAGTCGAAATATTTCTGTAAAACATCTGTAATAGAAGTAGAAGCTACTTCAATTAAGGGTCCATAAACCAAAACAAATAAGCTATGGATTAGGTTTCTTCATTAACCTATCCTGCAAATGAATAAAACATTTTTGTAGTGTTTATGTGTTATGATATGCTGTCATGTATTGTTGTTGTTGATATGTTTTCATATTTTTCTCTAGGAAAAAATTAGCCCTTCATGGATAACCCTCATAATATGTTGCCATCTAGTGGCAAATTAAAGCAAAAAGCTCCTTCTTTAGTGTAATGTAATCAGCTGTGTATATCAAAATGGGCGATGTAAACACTTTTTGCTTGGTATGCTGGTTCCCTGTACAGTCAGTGTTAAACATACTCATTTGCTATGTTCATGTTTATTTAAAGGCTAGCACAGTAGTTTGTATGCTGCTTTCTAATAATAAAATAAGATCTTAAGAATTAGAATGACATTTTAGAAAAATGCTAAGAAAACTTTGTAAAGAACGGATGATTTAAAGTGTCTGCTGTTGTGGGAAAGTTCTCTTAATATTTCTTCCAGGAACTTCATCCTATAGCTCTTTTATGGCACAGTTTTTTGCAACTTTTTCAGAACATCTTCTCAGTAGGCTACATGTTGCTATTGTTGTGCTCCATACAACAACAAAAAGGACAAAGAAAAATTGATTTTGCTCACTGTGGGTTCTTGCTCCATGATAAATGTATTTGACAACTTAAAGGCATCAGTGTGCAGACTAAATGTATATTTATTTGTAATCCTGTCCAGCTATACCCTCCACATGGCTCCTGTGATTTTAATTAACTGTGTGTGGTTTGAACTTCATTTTTGATTGCTCTTCTTTGGAAGCCTGAGGCCTGATAACATACTGTGTTCGGCCCTATTGTCCCTCTCTGGTGTCTGATTAGAGCCCAGGCCTTCTCGTTATAATCACTTGAGTTATTTGGAAGGGAACAAAACATTATCACATCTACAGATCCTCTTGCCAATTAGCATTTAAATGCAAGAAATTAAGAGCTGTTTTCAGAAATATGGGGAAATCAATTCACTTAATTAATTTTTCACAATGGGTGTTTAGAGGAAATGCATCTTCTTTAGGCTACATTTGAGCTTGTAGCTTGGTGTTCAATACACTCAGTAGCTTAGGGTGGCAAATGCTAGCTAATGCTAACAAACGTTTCAGGGAATGTGCCAAGAGGAGGTTTTGTAGATCAGTGATTCTCAAACTTTTTTCAATAATGTACCCCCTTTGAAAAAAAAATTCAGCCAAGTACCCCCTGTTTGGACACAAACAGTACAGCGCTGCACCATCAGTGTCTGATTTATTAAAACAACAACATTGTAACTGAGAAACACTTAAATGCTACATTTCAAATGTTTACAATCCATCACTAAATTCATGCAAACCAATTTTAACATCATGCAATAACACTAAGACGACATTAGTTGCATTGAACTGATCTTTTTAATAAGTTGTACTTACAATTTAGTGAGAAACATTGTCTTGTGCCTCACTGAGGATCTTTGTCATTCTGACAGGGAGGCTAATTGCAGTTATTACACTTCATGTTTTGAAATATGTGTAACTCTAGTCTATTAATATAAAACCCACACTGCTCAAACTTCGTTACTTTTCCTAAAATTGGTATATTTATCTTCTTTTTTTTCTTTTCATTAACATAAAAATAAATCTCACGTACCCCCTGCAGTACTCCAACGTACCCCTAGGGGTCCGCGTACCCCCATTTGAGAACCACTGGACTGTAGATAACAAATGTCAGTAATAAACCTAATGATATGAGGGAGCAAATCTAAAGAAAGGACTGCGGGGTGGATGTCAGCAGTTGGAGAGGAGAAATAGAACCATCGGCTAGCTTTTATAGCCAGCGTCCACACGGCGGGGTGCGTTGAAACTTGCCGGCGGGCGTGTCTGAAGCTCGACCAACAACCAATCACATGAATCTCCCGCCCCGGACACACAAGCACACGGTTTGATTGGCTAGAGCTTGTACTGGCATATGATTTGATTGGCTGACGCTTCCGTCGAAGCTTCAAAAGTTGAACATTGCTCAACTTTTGAAGCGAGCAACGCGAGCAAAGCGAAGCTCCCACAATGCAGTTCGGCAAAGTGTGACGTCACCTCATTCAAAGTGAATGGGCAGAAGCGTTGAAGCTTCAACGCACGCCGCCGTGTGGACGGGCCAGCAGGTGAGTTTATCAGCAAACGACCCTCCACTGTCAGCCAATCCCCTGCTAAAGGTTGGCAAAGGACAGCCTCCAAGACACTAAACTTTATTATTTTATCTTTATTTTATGATTAATGCAATAATGGTACAGTTCATTAGGAACATCTTCAATACTTTTAACTGGCAACAGAGACTCAAGAGTCTCTTTCTGACGGAATCTGCAGAGGTTGATTTTAATGATAGACTGGAATAAAACACTTCCTGGAGACTGATGGAGCAGTCCCTTCTGTGTCCTGTTGTCACCTTCAAGAAAAACTGGAGCATAAAACTCAGCTTTCCAAAACTTACTTTTAATTAAGTTTAATTTCTAAAATTGATGGCACTTATGGCCTCAAAGCTTTTTTTACGATATGTTATGTATACATAAGCATGCAGATGGTATGTTTGTCTATAATAAAAGGAGGTTCAGATTTCCTAGCAGATGTTGGGTTGTTAATTTCTTCACCGAAATGACTCAGCATTTTTTAAGGCATGCTGAGCTCCCCTTCAGTTGGGCACTGGAGCGTTTACTTTGTTGATGTTAAGTGTATAAGTGAACGTGCTTTAAATCCTGGTCACAGTCATTTACATCAGACATCAATGTTTTTATCACATGCATTAACATTCACTATAATTATGGTATGGTCAGAGCAAAAGTTTCAGAGTTTTGTGAAATGTTATGACATTCTGCATCATAAAATGAACTTATATGCTTGTTATTATGCTCTTTATGAAACACATGTCCTATACTTATTTGTTTTTCACTCATATTATTATTTTATAGTACCACTTTTATACTGTAATGAAAACAAAACTGTTTCCCTTATGTTGTACTTATTTATAACCACTAGATGTCAGAATGTACCCACATAAGGTGCCAGACACAAAACTTCTAGTGCAATATTCATGTAGAAGTGTCCTGATTGCTATGCATCAAAATGACTAGAGGTAAACAAAAACCAGCAGATAAGATGTAATCTGTCTTATCTTATCTGTCTTTATTTTTGGAAATAATTGTGCTATCTCAGGATAAATCGGTTTAATGCCCAACATTTACCTGGATGTCACTGCGTCTTCTTCTTTAAATTGGTTGTCAGCCAGTGTGACCCAGGCTAATAGTGATTCATTATTGCTCACACCCTGCTAGTGTTCGCAGAGCTTCATGGGGCTAGAGGGGATGGGGGGAAAGGGGTAAGCGTCAATCTCTCACAATCTAATGAGGACAGGCATAGCAACACACAGCAGAGTTAACCATGGTCAGAGCTGTCTCTTGGCTAGAGAGCATCACTTTGACGGTCAGCGGATGATTTCGTAGTCTTTATTTGAGACTGAGAACAAATTAAATGCTGCTAAAAAGGCCCATTCAAAATGTTATCAGTGTTGCATAACATTTTCATATTTATTTCATCCCTGTACAAGCCTATTTGCCACAAGGAATCAATACTCTATTACGGTGCTGTGCTGCGCAGTTAAGCTGGACCTTAAAAAGTGAACTAAAGCTATAGTGAATTATGGGTGACTGTGAGAGGAAGTATTGAAGGAGAGAGAAAGACAATAGAAAGAGGTTTTATTGTGTGGATTGATGTTGTTGGAAGGCAGGTCTCCACAGAGTCCCCACTTCATTATTGGCTCTATGCTTACACACCACTTGTTCAGTTTTTTCTCCATATTAAAGCCACACTTTTTCTATGCATGCTTCACATAAGGTTTACAATTTGTGACTAATGACTTATTTAATAGTCAATGCATTGCTGATTAAAGGGTATGGTACTTAAAATGAAAAAACTTAGTTCCTTCTGCATTAACTTCCCTTTTTGGCCACCTGGGGGCAGCAGGAACAAGCTGTAAAATACCATGAAAAAGTTTGTTCTGATTTCAGCCAACCAATTTTAGTTCCCCCGACAAAATTACAATGACATTTTTCCATTGAGCTTTGGTTAATTGCAGAAAATAAACTTAGCAAACAAACGTTTACGATACCTACACATTTTATTAGCACTTTATTCACAAATGACCACCATGATTTTTTAACTGTAAATGAGATCGCCAAAAATAAGAAGCTTACGTTATCTTAAAACATACTACTGCATGGACGCACTCTTTAGCGTCCTAAACGTCAAACTAGTATCTTGTGTGATGAGGATTAGTACTCTTATTTACCACTTGTTAGCAACTTCCTTTTTTAGGACATGTAAAAGCTTCAAAATTCTCAAATTGGATATTACCGTAACAAAGTGAAAATCTCTTAAGCTTGTGCAAACCACAGACCTTTTCATTAGTCAAAAAAATTATTCAAAAACCCTTTAATGAGGAAACCTTAAGTGCAGAAATGCTGACTCAATTTTGGGTTTTGGGACTCACTACTGAAACATGTACCAACTTTTTTATGCAATAATGTCGCTTCAAAATTCCCATCAAATTCAGCCTGTCCACATACCAACAGTCAAGTATATCAAGTTTAAC